AAATATATTGTTTGACTAGTTTCTAATTTTGCTTGTTTCAGAGTGCACTTTTTAGATTTTTTGAGACTGTGCCGACTCTTGCTGGGTCTGTTGTTGATGCTCCAATCCAGGAGCTCAATGATAGCAGGTAATGTATTACGTTCCATTGAACCATCCATGTGGGCTTGAGTTAGAAAAGCTCTGACGGGCCTTCGAAAGCTAACCTGAAAGAAAAATAAACCCATGTTGTTAAGGACGTTTTAAATGAGAACATCGGGACAATGTGAACACAAGCTGAAGTAAAATGAGTGTTGAGTTGACAATGTGAACACATACCGTACAGAAAAGTAAGTACAAATCAGAAGTCATCATCATCACCTATTCATCATCATCTTTACCATCAAATAAACATAATCCCTGGGTACCATAAATCCTTAACCGTAATCATCTGCACCACCATCATCACCATTATCAGGCCTAAAAAATTGTTTGCTGTCACATTGTAAAAATTTGAATACAGGGGCGGGTGGACAATTTTTTTTTTTTTTTTTTTTCCGTAAAATCATAGAAACATCGTGAAAACTGTGCGATTGTCATTTTTTCACGGAAAACGATCATATTTTTTTTTGTTTTTTAAAAATTTAAATAGTAAAAATTTCCATATGACACGGATCTACGGCAAAATCGACGAAAATGTGGTTTTCATTTGATCTTTTAAACTTAAAAAAGAAACTATTTTGGGAAAAAAAACCCCGCCCCTAATTCTCGGGATTTTAGGGGCGGCGGATGACGGCAAAGAAACAAGTTTCCTTTTAGGCATCATCATTATCATCGCCATTATCATAAACATCGTCCTAACCATCCTCATTCCCATCATCATTGAGCCGAAAACGATGAAGTGAGAAATAGCAAAATCACAAAGCTGATGGTTTTGTCGAAATTTGACGATTCGTCGACAGTACTGTTTTTCCTGTTGTTTTTTATGTTATGTTTCACCTAAGGATCATACTAACGTGTTCTGTGGCACTTACGGACCCTGTGAATGGAGAAATGACCAAAACAGTGGTGGCGCCAGGATCTGCCCGAGGGGTGGGGGGCTAGTGGAACGAATCGAGTCTCACTTGCCTTGGGGCCAGGGGGCCGTCTAGGGCACCCGGTGAAGCCACGGATATTTGATGAATTATGGCGAATTTTTATTACTTATTTGATAGGCATCGAGTTACTATAATATGACTTCATGTAGGCTATGCTTTCTAATGTTGAAATCAGCTTCCAAAACCAAAACATTTTGAATAAAGCAAGAAACAAATCTAATTTATTTTCAAATCCTCATTCTTAAAAGTGAAATTCTATATTTTGGAAATTTTGCATGAAATCTGTCAACCACGCTGTCATGGTCGAGTTTGCTTCACCTATCACGATGTATTCCAACCATCATGAGGCTATCTAAATGAGCATTTGTCATAACCGAACGCAAATTATTTTTAATTAGTCTCATTGAATTATTATTATTATTATTATTATTGTTATTGTTATTTTTGTGATGAAAAGTTAACACAAACAATATGGCGGCTAAACGAATATTACATGTAAATTTTTTTTTTTTATTTGTTTGTTCCCCGACAAAATTTATCGTCTTCCCCGACGGGGGGGCTATGCTTCCCCGACGGCAGGGGCGGATCCAGAAATGTCCAAAAGGGGGGGGGGGCCGAAAGTTGGGCCGATTGAGACA